TAAAGATACCCTCCTCAGCCTCTACACATCCCTAATCAGATCTAAACTAGACTACGGCTGTGCCATATACGATACCCTAAACGAAACCCTAACCAAAAAACTAGATTCAATACAATATCAAGCCCTCAAACTAGTAACACGTACTCAACATGGCACCTCCCTCACATCACTTCAGGCCCTTACAGGAGAAATGCCACTAAATTTACGTAGACAACACTTAACACTAAACTTCTGGGCAGCATCTCAATCAAACCCCCTTCTCCAAAACATGCTAAACCAAAACATACGTCCCCAAAACCAGGCACTAACTAGAAAACACCCTCTACTCACCCCAATATCCCAACGAATAATAAACTACCATAACGAACACCAAATAGGAAACCAACAACAAAACTGCAAACAATCAAACGTATTCACCCCAAAACTTAAAATCCCCAAAATAGACACATCCCTAGCCAACACAATAAACAAACAAACCGACCCAAACCTAGCTAAAAGCACATCACTAGCTTACATCCATCAAAAATGGCCAAATTGGTGTCACATATACACAGACGGATCCGCTGATCCGATCACAAATCACACAGGTTTCGGAGTCCATACAGCCCAACCAGTCAAAAATACTCAATCCTTCCGACTCCCAAACAACCAATCTATATTCACCGCAGAGCTCATGGGTATCGCCACGGCGCTCCACAACCATCACACCAAAAACCAAAAAAAAATCTTAATACTCTCAGACTCACTAAGCGGACTTCAGGCCCTCCAAAACAAAAACACCAAAAACCGCCCCAAATTAATAAACCAAATTCTCAAAAGCGTAAACAAACTAACAGAGGCAGGCAAAAACATACAACTTATCTGGATACCAGCTCACGTAGGAATTTACGGGAATGAAAACGCAGACAGAGCCGCAAAACAATCCCTAAAAATACCAGACATAAGCCTTAAGCTACCAATATCTAAAGCAGAAATCAAAAGTATAAACAAACGTAAAATCACCCAAAAATGGCATAACCTCTATCAAAACACAAAAACCCAAATCCTAAAAACCCTCAAAAAACCCCTCACCAAACCAAAAATCCTCCATCCCTCCAAAAAAATCGATAGAATAATCACCAAACTCCAAACAGGACACACCAAACTAAATAACCACCTTCTAAAACTAAAAAAACACGCAAACGGGAAGTGCCCACACTGCACTCACCCAGAAACAATAGACCACGTACTACTACATTGCACCCACTACCTCACACAACGTACAACATTACAAACCAACCTAAATCCAAATAACGCTCTTACCTTAGAAGCAATCCTTAACCCCCAAAATAAAATAGAAAACTTCAAAGCCCTAGGCATTTACCTAACCAAAACAGAACTAATTAACCGTATTTAAAACTTCACTAAACCACCAACACTAAACATCCAAAAAACATCAACTCACCCCCACACACTCCCTTAGTCCCAACCACTCCCCCAAGGCATGTATTCCAAATCTCAAAATTTCAAAACTTTATATAAGCAACCACTAAACCCCCCTCCTTGGTTGCACTCCTCTCGCTACCACTTTTATACCACTAAATGGCCCGGCCGGGCCCGTGTGCGAAATACGCTCCAGTCGGAAAGCGCACGTAAAATCTCCTAATATAAGTAAGTAAGTAAGTAACAGATGTGAGCTGTCTGTAATTAGTAGAGACATTATATGTATATATACAACACATATTGACTGATGTGAGCTCTCTGTAATTAGTAGAGACATTATATGTATATATACAACACATATTGACTGATGTGAGCTGTCTGTAATTAGTAGAGACATTATATGTATATATACAACACATATTGACTGATGTGAGCTGTCTGTAATTAGTAGAGACATTATATGTATATATATACAACACATATTGACAGATGTGAGCTGTCTGTAATTAGTAGAGACATTATATGTATATATACAACACATATTGACAGATGTGAGCTGTCTGTAATTAGTAGAGACATTATATGTATATATACAACACATAGTGACTGATGTGAGCTGTCTGTAATTAGTAGAGACATTATATGTATATATACAACACATATTGACAGATGTGAGCTGTCTGTAATTAGTAGAGACATTATATGTATATATACACCACATATTGACCGATGTGAGCTCTCTGTAATTAGTAGAGACATTATATGTATATATATAACACATATTGACTGATGTGAGCTGTCTGTAATTAGTAGAGACATTATATGTATATATACAACACATAGTGACTGATGTGAGCTGTCTGTAATTAGTAGAGACATTATATGTATATATACAACACATAGTGACTGATGTGAGCTGTCTGTAATTAGTAGAGACATTATATGTATATATACAACACATAGTGACTGATGTGAGCTGTCTGTAATTAGTAGAGACATTATATGTATATATACAACACATAGTGACTGATGTGAGCTGTCTGTAATTAGTAGAGACATTATATGTATATATACAACACATAGTGACTGATGTGAGCTGTCTGTAATTAGTAGAGACATTATATGTATATATACAACACATAGTGACTGATGTGAGCTGTCTGTAATTAGTAGAGACATTATATGTATATATACAACACATAGTGACTGATGTGAGCTGTCTGTAATTAGTAGAGACATTATATGTATATATACAACACATAGTGACTGATGTGAGCTGTCTGTAATTAGTAGAGACATTATATGTATATATACAACACATAGTGACTGATGTGAGCTGTCTGTAATTAGTAGAGACATTATATGTATATATACAACACATAGTGACTGATGTGAGCTGTCTGTAATTAGTAGAGACATTATATGTATATATACAACACATAGTGACTGATGTGAGCTGTCTGTAATTAGTAGAGACATTATATGTATATATACAACACATATTGACAGATGTGAGCTGTCTGTAATTAGTAGAGACATTATATGTATATATACACCACATATTGACGGATGTGAGCTCTCTGTAATTAGTAGAGACATTATATGTATATATACAACACATATTGACAGATGTGAGCTGTCTGTAATTAGTAGAGACATTATATGTATATATACAACACATAGTGACTGATGTGAGCTGTCTGTAATTAGTAGAGACATTATATGTATATATACAACACATATTGACAGATGTGAGCTGTCTGTAATTAGTAGAGACATTATATGTATATATACACCACATATTGACGGATGTGAGCTCTCTGTAATTAGTAGAGACATTATATGTATATATATAACACATATTGACTGATGTGAGCTGTCTGTAATTAGTAGAGACATTATATGTATATATACAACACATAGTGACTGATGTGAGCTGTCTGTAATTAGTAGAGACATTATATGTATATATACAACACATAGTGACTGATGTGAGCTGTCTGTAATTAGTAGAGACATTATATGTATATATACAACACATAGTGACTGATGTGAGCTGTCTGTAATTAGTAGAGACATTATATGTATATATACAACACATATTGACAGATGTGAGCTGTCTGTAATTAGTAGAGACATTATATGTATATATACACCACATATTGACGGATGTGAGCTCTCTGTAATTAGTAGAGACATTATATGTATATATACAACACATATTGACAGATGTGAGCTGTCTGTAATTAGTAGAGACATTATATGTATATATACAACACATAGTGACTGATGTGAGCTGTCTGTAATTAGTAGAGACATTATATGTATATATACAACACATATTGACAGATGTGAGCTGTCTGTAATTAGTAGAGACATTATATGTATATATACACCACATATTGACGGATGTGAGCTCTCTGTAATTAGTAGAGACATTATATGTATATATATAACACATATTGACTGATGTGAGCTGTCTGTAATTAGTAGAGACATTATATGTATATATACAACACATAGTGACTGATGTGAGCTGTCTGTAATTAGTAGAGACATTATATGTATATATACAACACATAGTGACTGATGTGAGCTGTCTGTAATTCGTAGAGACATTATATGTATATATACAACACATAGTGACTGATGTGAGCTGTCTGTAATTAGTAGAGACATTATATGTATATATACAACACATAGTGACTGATGTGAGCTGTCTGTAATTAGTAGAGACATTATATGTATATATACAACACATAGTGACTGATGTGAGCTGTCTGTAATTAGTAGAGACATTATATGTATATATACAACACATAGTGACTGATGTGAGCTGTCTGTAATTAGTAGAGACATTATATGTATATATACAACACATAGTGACTGATGTGAGCTGTCTGTAATTAGTAGAGACATTATATGTATATATACAACACATAGTGACTGATGTGAGCTGTCTGTAATTAGTAGAGACATTATATGTATATATACAACACATAGTGACTGATGTGAGCTGTCTGTAATTAGTAGAGACATTATATGTATATATACAACACATATTGACAGATGTGAGCTGTCTGTAATTAGTAGAGACATTATATGTATATATACACCACATATTGACGGATGTGAGCTCTCTGTAATTAGTAGAGACATTATATGTATATATACAACACATAGTGACTGATGTGAGCTGTCTGTAATTAGTAGAGACATTATATGTATATATACACCACATATTGACGGATGTGAGCTCTCTGTAATTAGTAGAGACGCTCTATATCACATGACAAAACTATCTAGCTGATAAGTGAGTAAGTGAGTGAGTATGGTTTTATGCTGCTTTTAGCAATATTCAAGCAATATCACGGCGGGGGACACCAGAAATGTGCTTCACACATTGTACCCGTGTCGGGGATTGAACCCGGGTTTTCGGCATGACGAGCGAACGCTTTAACCACTAGGCTACCGCCCCTCTAGCTTATAAGTACAAGATGATATGTGTTAATGTTCAAGTTGATCACATGATATCTACAGCTAGTGGAGTGCAAGTTTGTGGTGGTTTCTGCTTTCAGATATCCAAGATGTGGAAGAAGATTCTGGCTGTGTTAGTTGGCCTGGTGATTGGGTACTGGCTGTACGATGACTTTGATCCAGGTGAGTAGGATGTGTCAGTTGGCCTGGTGATTGGGTACTGGCTGTACGATGACTTTGATCCAGGTGAGTAGGATGTGTCAGTTGGCCTGGTGATTGGGTACTAGCTGTACGATGACTTTGATCCAGGTGAGTAGGATGTGTTAGTTGGCCTGGTGATTGGGTACTGGCTGTACAATGACTTTGATCCAGGTGAGTAGACTGTGTCAGTTGGCCTGGTGATTGGGTACTGGCTGTACGATGACTTTGATCAAGGTGAGTAGGATGTGTCAGTTGGCCTGGTGATTGGGTACTGGCTGTACGATGACTTTGATCAAGGTGAGTAGGATGTGTCAGTTGGCCTGGTGATTGGGTACTGGCTGTACGATGACTTTGATCCAGGTGAGTAGGATGTGTCAGTTGGCCTGGTGATTGGGTACTGGCTGTACGATGACTTTGATCCAGGTGAGTAGACTGTGTCAGTTGGCCTGGTGATTGGGTACTGGCTGTATGATGACTTTGATCCAGGTGAGTAGGATGTGTCAGTTGGCCTGGTGATTGGGTACTGGCTGTACGATGACTTTGATCCAGGTGAGTAGGATGTGTTAGTTGGCCTGGTGATTGGGTACTGGCTGTATGATGACTTTGATCCAGGTGAGTAAGATGTGTTAGTTGGCCTGGTGATTGGGTACTGGCTGTACGATGACTTTGATCCAGGTGAGTAGACTGTGTCAGTTGGCCTGGTGATTGGGTACTGGCTGTACGATGACTTTGATCCAGGTGAGTAGGATGTGTCAGTTGGCCTGGTGATTGGGTACTGGCTGTACAATGACTTTGATCAAGGTGAGTAGGATGTGTTAGTTGGCCTGGTGATTGGGTACTGGCTGTACGATGACTTTGATCCAGGTGAGTAAGATGTGTTAGTTGGCCTGGTGATTGGGTACTGGCTGTACGATGACTTTGATCCAGGTGAGTAGACTGTGTCAGTTGGCCTGGTGATTGGGTACTGGCTGTACTATGACTTTGATCCAGGTGAGTAGGATGTGTTAGTTGGCCTGGTGATTGGGTACTGGCTGTACGATGACTTTGATCCAGGTGAGTAGGATGTGTCAGTTGGCCTGGTGATTGGGTACTGGCTGTACGATGACTTTGATCCAGGTGAGTAGGCTTTGTCAGTTGGCCTGGTGATTGGGTACAGGCTGTACAATGACTTTGATCCAGGTGAGTAGGATGTGTCAGTTGGCCTGGTGATTGGGTACTGGCTGTACGATGACTTTGATCCAGGTGAGTAGGCTGTGTTAGTTGGCCTGGTGATTGGGTACTGGCTGTACGATGACTTTGATCCAGGTGAGTCTCAGCTCTGTGACCCTATTGCACCCTAGAATCTCAGCTTTGTGGACCCTATTGCACCCTAGAATAGCAGCTCTGTGGACCCTATTGCACCCTAGAATCTCAGCTTTGTGGACCCTATTGCACCCTAGAATCTCAGCTCTGTGGACCCTATTGCACCCTAGAATCTCAGCTTTGTGGACCCTATTGCACCCTAGAATCTCAGCTCTGTGGACCCTATTGCACCCTAGAATCTCAGCTCTGTGGACCCTATTGCGCCCTAGAATAGCAGCTCTGTGGACCCTATTGCACCCTAGAATCTCAGCTTTGTGGACCCTTTTGCGCCCTAGAATAGCAGCTCTGTGGACCCTATTGCACCCTAGAATCTCAGCTTTGTGGACCCTATTGCACCCTAGAATCTCAGCTCTGTGGACCCTATTGCACCCTAGAATCTCAGCTTTGTGGACCCTATTGCACCCTAGAATCTCAGCTCTGTGGACCCTGATTGCACCCTAGAATCTCAGCTCTGTGGACCCTATTGCACCCTAGAATCTCAGCTCTGTGGACCCTATTGCACCCTAGAATCTCAGCTCTGTGGACCCTATTGCGCCCTAGAATCTCAGCTCTGTGGACCCTATTGCGCCCTAGAATCTCAGCTCTGTGGACCCTATTGCGCCCTAGAATCTCAGCTCTGTGGACCCTATTGCACCCTAGAGTGAGTGAGTGAGTGAGTTGGGTTTAACGCCGCTTTTAACAGTATTCCAGTTATATCGCGGCCTGTCAGCTTAATGTGGGAGGAAAGCCCGAAGTGATGCAGGTCTCAGACGTTTACCACTTCGGTGAAACCCACGAGCACGGGTATGGTGCTGACAAACCTAGAAACATAATTGGGGCGAACCGGGATTCGAACCCACAATCATAGGTTTCTGGCGTGCCCAAGGGACGCAACTCTGCACAGCGAATCGCGGCGCCTTAGATGACTGGGCCACCCGTGCCCCCTATTGCACCCTAGAATCTCAGCTTTGTGGACCCTATTGCACCCTAGAATCTCAGCTCTGTTGACCCTATTGCACGCTAGAATCTCAGCTCTGTGGACCCTATTGCACCCTAGAATCTCAGCTCTGTGGTTATTACTACATGCTGTATTATACACTGCTGGGTTATTACAACATGCTGTACAGGATGCTGGGTTATTACAACCTGCTGTACAGGATGCTGGGTTATTACAACATGCTGTACAGGATGCTGGGTTATTACAACATGCTGTATTATACACTGCCGGGTTATTACAACATGTTGTACAGGATGCTGGGTTATTACAGCATGTTGTACAGGGTGCTGGGTTATTACAACATGCTGTACAGGATACTGGGTTATTACAACATGCTGTATTATACACTGCCGGGTTATTACAACCTGCTGTACGACATGCTTGGTTATTACAACATGCTGTATTATACACTGCCGGGTTATTACAACCTGCTGTACAGGATGCTGGGTTATTACCACATGCTGTATTATACACTGCTGGGTTATTACAACATGCTGTACAGGATGCTGGGTTATTACATATAGAATACTAAACAAGCTCCCGTGTAATACCAATTTTATGAAACGAGTGAATAGTTGTGGTATGTGACGAGAGAAAGCGAGTCAGATACCACAACTTTTCTCGAGTTTCATAAAATTGGTTTTACACGGGAGCGAGTTTAGTATTTTATTTATTACTTGCCATTTATAACGTTTTTAGAATTATACTGTTGAGTATGAATAGGCTGACACCTACACGATCCATGGCATAGTCCCCTTGAATTTAAAAGAATAATACTTCAAACACGTCAAAAGTTGAAATGTATGAATTTAATACCATACAACGGTCCACCTTTAGAATTCACAAAATTATCGTAGGGCTAAGACTTTTCGCAACTCACATACTTAAACTTACACTAAGGAGTGTCATTGTGCTACAGTGCGATCGCCTTGTGGAACGGGCCTTGCACCTCAAAGTTTACAATAATGTCACAATACCCGATGACGTAATTTGTGGAATTTTGTTGCAAGATCTGTTCGTCCGTCCGTCACATTTCGTTTCCGGAGCATAACTCAGAAACCTTTCAATATTTTTTCATGAAACTTTGCAGGTCTGTCAAGTCCATGCTGAACTGGTGCCTTTTGCTATTTAGAAATTTTAGACATTTTTATTTTTTACGTTTCCATGGCAACAAGATGGACTTAGGTTCTGTGAGAGTAGGTTTCGTTTCCGGAGCATAACTCATAAGCCGTTCAATATTTTTTCATCAAACTTTGCAGGTCTATCAGGTACATGCTGAACTGGTGCCTTTTGCTATTGAGAAATTTTAGTAATTTATATTTTTTACGTTTCCATGGCAACCAGGTGGACTTAGGTTCTGTGAGGGTAGGGTTCGTTTCCGGAGCATAACTCATAAACCGTTCAATATTTTTTCATCAAACTTTGCAGGTCTGTCAGGTGCATGCTGAACTGGTGCCTTTTGCTATTTAGAAATTTTAGAAACTTTTATTTTTTGGCAACATGGCAACAAGATGGACTTAGGTTCCAAACTCTTCTTTTTTTACAATTTCCATGACAAGTTCCACCTCAGTTAAAAAAAATTAGGGTTTGTTTAGATTTAATAATGTCATAAATCCTGAAACAGGGGCGGGGGATATAGCCACGTTACAACATGTTGTACAGGATGCTGGGTTATTACAACATGCTGTACAGGATGCTGGGTTATTACACCATGCTGTACGGGATGCTGGGTTATTACAACATGCTGTATTATACACTGCTTGGTTATTACAAAATGCTGTACAGGATTCTGGGTTATTACACAATGCTGTACAGGATTCTGGGTTATTATCCCCCGCCACGAAGTGGAAGGGGGATATAGGAATGGGTGCCGGCCAACCGGCCGGCACATTTTGTTTCCGGAGCAGATCTTGAAAACCATACCATATTTCTTCACCAAACTTGGCACATAGATAGATCTAGTGGTGAACTGGTGCCTTTTGATAGTTTGGGATTTTTAAAAAAAAAAAATTTTGAGTTTCCATGGCAACGACTTTGATTTAGACTGAAAATGGCGGTAGTCCTCGTTTCCGGAGCAGATCTTGAAAACCGTACCATATTTCTTCACCAAACTTGGCACATAGATAGGTCTAGTGGTGAACTGGTGCCTATTGATAGTTTGGGATTTTTAAAAAAAAAAAATTTTGAGTTTCCATGGCAACGACTTTGATTTAGACTGAAAATGGTGGTAGTCCTCGTTTCCGGAGCAGATCTTGAAAACCGTACCATATTTCTTCACCAAACTTGGCACATAGATAGGTCTAGTGGTGAACTGGTGACTTTTGATAGTTTGGGATTTTAAAAAAAGTTATTTTTTGAATTTTCATGGCAACGACTTTGATTTAGACTGAAAATGGAGGTAGTCCTCGCTTCCGGAGCAGATCTTGAAAACCGTACCATATTTCTTCACCAAACTTGGCACATAGATAGATCTAGTGGTGAACTGGTGCCTTTTGATAGTTTGGGATTTTTAAAAAAGTTATTTTTTGAGTTTCCATGGCAACGACTTTGATTTAGACTGAAAATGGAGGTAGTCCTCGTTTCCGGAGCAGATCTTGAAAACCGTACCATATTTCTTCACCAAACTTGGCACATAGATAGATCT